AAATAGGACAGGACATAATTTTAGAGATTTTAATGTTATAAAAAATTTTTTTTTAAAAACAAGATGTAATATCAACAAAAAAAATAACAGTCTTTTATTTGTTTTATTTATTACATACTACAATAAAAGAAAATTTAATAAACCTTCATGAAATTAAAAGTTTTTATTAAATAATTAAATTGCAAAATTAATATTAATAATCCTGCAAAACTCTTGCAAGACTAATTCTTAATAACTCCTCTCACAAGTCTAATTTTAATGGTTCCCTCTCACAAGACTAGTTCCCCCCTGCAAGACTACTTTTTAATAATCCCCCATGAAATTTTATGGATCGGCGTAAATTAGCCAATCAAAATGACCAATTACTGGAACAAAGGACATGCCGACCCCTACATTCGGACTTTGTCTGAAGTCGACTTCGAGTTGGACCTAAAAAGTCTCTAAGTAGTCGACTCAAAGACCGGGTCCTACAAGCTTTTTCACAGCCCTAAATATATGGCTTAGTGAATTGATTTAAAACTATATAAAAACCATTATAATAAACAAAAGTCAATTTATCTACGTGCTGAAAAGCTTGATTTCATTACGATTTTTTTTTCATACAATTGTTTAATATGCAGTTTTTAATGTGATCGCATAGGAATTATTAACAATGATCAAACTTATTAATTATTACTAATTATTAATAATTAGTTATTAATGTTTTTATTATTAACTAAAAATTCGAAGGTCCCATCACTAGATGAAATGATACGTATCCAAACTCGGCATATAAATTTGGATTGAATTTCAAAATTAAAAATCAGCATCGAATTTAGGCTAATTGTTAATTCAGATATTGATAACCCTTAAATTAATATTTGAATTAAGAATTAAAGATTCGATCTATGGTTTTAATTTAAACATTAATTAAAGCATAATTTTAGATCGATTTTTTTGGCCGAATCAACATAAATTTAATATAATAAAAACTTTCATAATAAAATCACCTGAAAATTCATATAATGCTGAGTAGAAATTGTATTTTTACGTAAATTATTTGGGTGGTTATGCTTGAAGGACTTTATATCGCAAAATTTCAGCATCAGCCGCGATAATCAGTATAAAATAAGTTTCCGATTTTCACATTTCGACCAGTAGTTATAACATTTATAGAACCAATACAGTGGATTTTTGGATTTTTTAAGGCCCCAAGGTCTTTAAATTCAAGATTAGATTTACGAATGTGCGGTATTTAACAATGAGTAATGTAAAAGTTTGATAATCTGGGGCATTTATTTTATCTATTTTATCATATTCAAAAAAGAATGTAACAGTAATGATGGCTTTAGGGCTTTTTAAAAAAGAAAGTATTTTTCTTTTCTTTTTTTTCTTTTTTTGGCTATTGATTTTTTTTCTTCAAAGCAACTACTTTAAAATTTCACGCATATGATAAGCTCTTTTAGAATTGTTACTTTCACGATCCTTTTTGCTATCACATTATCTTAAGTGACACTAAATCAAATCTTGGCATTAAGATAATTTACGGCAGCACTGTGAATCAGCTACGTAGATCATATCCGCTTTTGCATAATAAAAACATACCCTACCGTTACGTGCTAAACGTGATTGTGATTTAAGTAGTGCGGGTTGCCGAGATCTACATTTGATACTCTATATGGGTAATTATTTTGAACCTGGACCAACTTAATTACCCATACTTAATAAAGATAACGCGGCTCATTTTTATAAAAGCTACGAATACTAACTAAAATGATATTGATATATCTACATTTATTATTATAAACTATATATAACAATTTCGAGGCAAGTTTATACTGAAATGATTTCTATAAATAGTTCACTACGATTAAAATTTTACTATATGGCTTTTTGTTGAGAGTATCGTAATTTTTGGGCATTTTAGATTAGTCTATCATTCCAGTTTTCTAAAAACTCGACTGATTTGCCGTAGCTGGCTCAGTTACTAAGGATGTTCTCAAGCACTTCAATCAATAAATCGGAGGCATTAGCCGGAAATTGAAAAAACCAAATAAGTAGGAATGGTAAAAAAATCATTTTTCACTGATTTTTAAATCATTCGAGGATTATATTCTGAGGTTTAAATTATGTGGGAATCAATAAAATTGTTTAAACCATAAACGGTCTCAGGCCCTAATCTAAACTATATTAGTTATAAAACTAGTATTTTTTTTCTCCTATATATATATATATATATATATGTATATTAATTCATTAAGCTTTGGGGGTAATATTGTATTATGATTGCAAATCAAAATTTATTTGAATTCTTATCGATCGTTAAACTGATATAATTTGCAAACACCGCGACTTTTAAATTAATTATACAGTCTTTAGCGTTAAGATTAATCCTTTGAAAATTTGTCTTCATAATCGCATACAAAAAGAGATTAGTAAAAGGTTTATTCCTAATAAATAATGTAAAAAAAAACCGTGGCCTTATAAATGTCAGTTAAGAATGTTTGGTATTAGCTAACAAAAAGGCAATTTGCATATCTGATAGAGTGAATCAATATATAAAACATAAACGGTTCTTAGAAAAATATAATAGAAATTTTCGAAAGTTATTAATCGGCAAGGTGCTGTTTGACTGGTAAATTCCATGAAATTGTTAGGTACCTTTAAATTACTTACCGTAGAGTACTGCATTCAATACCTCCCTAGAATGGTATCTCGGGATTTAGACCAGGGTATATTTCAATACCATCACGCAAAAATTCTGATTTACACCCAGTAAAATGGATTAATTTCGGTGTCGGTAAAACAATGTGGATTATTACTATTATTATTTTTGTTAGGATGGATCAATAAAACTGGGTCAGGTGCAGGACAGAAAGTACCTATCCATTTTCCGACCATGCAGCTCATTGTTTCGAGTGCCTTTGTCGATCCATTATAATAACGTAAATAATTTGAATCAAGAACGAATGGTCAGGAACAAAGATGCTTGACGAAACTCGCGTGACCTGACGAAACTATATAGTTTCGTCAATTCATCATGATGAAACATATAAGTTTCATCGATTCGTCAACGGCAAGATAGTTTCGTCAGGCATCTATAGTCAGGATTGAATATATATTTTTTGTCCTGTATCAGGTGGGTCTTTGGTTTAAAGCCTGAAGTACAAAAAAAAAAAAATTTCTTAGTGGATTGAAATTTTGAAACAAATAACTTGATCGTTAAAATATCATGAATTGCTATTCTTCAATGAACACTCTTTTGATTGGTTAATTTGATTACCGTTATGTAACACAAAGCATACACATTCATTAAAGTACAAGCAATCTACATAGTCGCATCAAATATCTTATACGTACTTTAAAATTGCCAAAGCTTTTACCTAAAGCTTAATTGGAAAACAATAAAGTAACTTTTATCAATCTACGTATTTAAAACTAAAAACATAGCAATAGTTGGGAGAATTTTCTTCACTTGCAATAAATGGACAATAATCTATTTTTTCAGTCATTGCCGCTACTTCTATCTAATTATACCGATATTTTTTCCGAATATAATTGGGCAGTTTATGAAGCCATGTTTTAACATATAGTACTTATGCATAGCAATACATAATAAAATTTCTGAAGGATGCCAAGGGAAGACCATAAATCGATCATATATGATTGATTTCTGATTTTCCCTTGGCGTTACCCATTTGTCTTCTAAGTACGTATGTACTTTGTGCAATTGATATTTTTTTGTTAGTGAAACGTTACATTTTTAAAAACACATAATAAACATAGTAAACACTTATCGTTATCTGAACGACAGTTCCTAATTAGCAAATCACATGAAAGCTCTCTATCATTATGAACTTTATAAAGTTACTTTTTTTGTATATGAATTTATAAGGATTAGCAATTTTCTTTCATCTCGTCACGCGTTATTGAAGATCAATGATATGATTCCCTAAATAAGAATGTGCCAAATCCGAATTACGCGATAAATGTAAAATATAAAGTTCTTCTGGCTTAACATGCTTCGTGGCAATCAGATCGTAAGTACATATGTATGTATAAGATCTAACCAATCAATTACATTAGTGATCAGGTGTACCGAAAATTCAATTGTGGCAAAATGTGTGATAGAACATAAGTAAAAGTATATTTACTGAATTTTTTAAAAAAATACGTAATTGAATAAAAAAATAAAAGATATCAAGCGATCTTTTTTTTATACATAATTTACATTTCTTTACGAAGACAAGTATTTCAAATAGCGCTCTAAATCTTTATTTTTAAATTGGTTTCAATTGACGCAAAGGCCTTTTTAAACTTGCAGATGATGTACTCTAAAACTTTATCATAACAAATTGCAATTAATTTAAAGTTAAATAATTGTTTATAACAATTTTACTTGATCGTAATTGTATAATAATTTAATCAAAATTAAATTTTCGGTACCCCTGTTAGTGATATTTTTAAGATGTTAATATATATATTTATTCATTAGTTAACGAAATATAGATGGTAAATTTGCCAAGAAGAGACAAAAATATATATATTACTTATTTACAGATACGGGAATGATCATCGCAGTGCCAAGAGATAAAAAATGTAACGTTTTGAATAAACTGCCGAAATCAAATATTTTATTCCGTGAACTATAAAACCTATAAAAAAACCTATAAAAATATAGAAACTACTCTTGTTTTTAAATAGTCATATTTGTTCCTTAATAGTCAGTATTCGAAATCTAATAAATGAAGCATATAAAAGGATAGAATTTGGAATTGAAAACATTTTACATGTGATAAAAAAAAGCGTCGTAAAAGTCATATTAATATTAAAATAAATTATACATCATATCAAACATGCCCTTTAATAAACAAAAACGTATCTTAAAAATGATCACGTTATCGAAATCAGTGATAATTTTTCTCTCGATAATGTTCATGAGCACGATCTATATAATTTCAAACACAGACTCATACCATAAAGAAACAAATCTAGAACCTTCAATAACGAATCATAACCAAATGCATCCATCCCTATGTAAAGATTTGACATGGATAGAAAAATGGATTAGTACAGGTGTCTTTGAATCAACTGACTCAAAATATCAAGGATCGTGCAACTGGGTACTATTTGACATTGTATATACTTGGGTGAATGGTAGTGATGATGATTATAAAATGATGAAAGAAACTTATAAACAGAAATCCAACATAATGGTCTTAGAACATTATTATCGCGATTATGACGAGTTACGTTATTCCATAAGATCAGTTGAAACCTTTTTTAAGGATTATATAAATAAGATATATATTATCGTCACGGATCTTGAAGATGGAAATATGCAGATTCCCACTTGGTTAAATACAGCTTGGAAAAATCCTAGAACCGGAAAGAAAAGGGTTGAAATCATCAGACATTCTGATATATTCACCGACATTACCGTGTTACCAACTTTTAGTTCTTTGGCAATTGAAAGCCAAATGATGAACATTCCAAATCTTTCTGATCAAGTATGTTTATTAAGTTAATCAAGTACATTTAATAGATTTATAAAATAAATACTAAGCAGAAAACAGATCATATATTTTAATGATGATTTATTTTTAGGGCAATATTTAACTCAAAGCGATTTTTGGACACCACTATACGGTCCGGTATTTCATATAGAACCACAACTGCTTGTTTCACCCAATAAAGATAAAGATGGACAGCCAATTCAAGTTGGTGAATGGTATGCTTTATATCATACTAATAAACTACTTAGTAAGCAATCTATAATATCACTAATCTTGTTACTCAGGAATTTCAGATAATTTTATTTTCTGACATGCTATATACAAACTAATTCTTTATGCCTTTATTCAGGTGAAAGATTCGGTTATCGGCACAGAGCGTATGTTTCTCACTCAACTCACACTCTTTCAACGTCAATTTTAAGAGAAATCGCTGCCGAATGGCCCCAAGATTTTCATGACACATCATCTCATCGTTTCCGTGGAGAATTCCCTGACATTCATACTACATTCTTGTTCACACATTATGTTATAGAAAAACATCGAGAAACTTTATTAAAAAGCTTTTTAATATGGAAAATGGATAAGAATCATAATGATCGTTGGGAATTATCAGAGCGCCAGGAAATCTTGAAAGCTCTTAGAACCGGTGAAATTCGTGAAACTGAACGTAATTCATTAAATAATTATTCAAAAATTCTTAATGACGCATATATTTTTCCTCCATACGAAACATCTTATATTTGGTCAAGTATGGATGGATATCCTAATATGAATTCACGATTAAATTTTTATGATACAAAATGTAAAATGGATTATGATTATTGTTTTGGAAAAGATTTTATGGATAATAATACGGATAGTGTTCCTATAGATAATATTTTTCGTGAGCTAGCTTTTAATAAATCTGGATGTGGTGATTGCATAATTTCAAGTGTTATCTCTTTGTCAGGAGAATCAGGCTTAGAAGCATTCTTACCACAACCGTCTCCTTCTTCTAGAGTAGAGGAAAGCAATAATTTCAAAGTCAATAATCTTAAAGACAATAGCCAAACCATTAAGGATTATAATCTCAAAGATAATAATCTCAATGACAACTCTGATGATTATAATACCATACAACCTTTTAATTATCGCGAATACGCAGTAAATCAAATTTCTCGTTTCAATTATGTAATAGGCAGTACTTCATTTAGTTTCGTAATACTTAAGCAACCCTACCAAACATGGTATGAATTAAATAATGTTATAAATAAGAATCCATCAGTGTTTTGTATAAATGACGACGTTGATAGAAATGAATCTATTATTAAACGTTACGTAAAAAGATTTTTGAGGTTATATTTTCGTCAAGACAATGAATATGAACTTGATGCCTGGGAAAGGAAAAAAAGTTTATGGCTGAAATTTAAAGAGTCAATATTTAGTTCAGATGCAAGGTTTTAAATAATAACTTTGAAAAATAATTATTTAATTCACTTTTTGTATTATATATTATATTTTCTTTTTTCTAGACTAGAAATCTAAAATTGCCAATAAATATTAAAAAACAATTCACACTATAATATGAGTGGCAATCTGTGAAAACCTGTAAATCATAATCTGTTTTAATAAAAATACCGTATAATTTAATAATTATTATTTTAGTATCATTTGAATCAACTTAATGAAACAATTAGAATAACATTAAAATCTTAAGTATTCAATTACTTGCTTTTTAAGATATTTCTATTATATAAAAGTAAATATTCAAAAAGCACGATTTACAGGTTTTCATAGGGCATCACTTAAGGTGAGTAGGGGTATTATGGCGAATAAGGTATTATGACGAATTCAGCATATCTCTTGACCCCGTGACCAGAATTGAATGATTTGTACGCCATTCGATTCGTATCGGTGAGACGAATCGAATGGTGCCAAATTCGTCATTTCCGACCACTGGATCATGAAATATCGATATTTTTTTACTTTTAAAAAAAGAAAAACAGAATACAAAAAAAAAATTTCGCACTAAATAAATCCATCTTAACACGTTAAGTAATTTTGTTCGCAGTAATAAATTCTACCTAAGTTCAAACCTTTTATATAGTTTGATAACCTTTTTCTTAATTTATTATTACTTTAAATAAATAAAGTATATAAGCCATATATTAGGTATTATGGTGAAGTAATTATGGTAGGATTAGAAATTTACTCTGCGCAAAACAAAAACTTATCTATCTTTTTATATATAAGAATTCATAACTATACATTCCTCTATGTACAGTAGCTGACAAAGTAATGTTCAATTTTTGGACAAAAAATAAAATTTTTATTTATTTAATTTTGGTTACATATACATTAAATTTTTTTTTATATTTTATTTAATACTTAACTTAGTGACCTTCTACACTTGTGATAACATCAATTTTTTGTGTTATTAAGTCTGCAATTACACAAAGAACTGATGTATTCAAACTTGATCATGCTTCTTTTAAAGCCGTTTTAAGCTCAGATTTATTTTTGAGAAGTCATCATAGTTTTGAATATTGTTTTTTATAATCTTTCAAATCTTTTCTATAGTGTTAAGGTCAGAAAATTTTGAGAACTAATTTATATAATTAATATTTTTTAATTTAATTCAATCTGATACCTTATGAACCAGAACATTATCATATTAAAAAATTAGATTAAAGTCATTTAACAAATAAATTACAATTATAAATTATAAAAGATTTATTAATTTTTTGCTTGAGACCTTTATAATTATCAGAAAAAATTATGAGATCTTTAATGTTATTAACAAAATATAATTAAATTATTACTGAAATTCTTTTATTTCTAAAATTTGGTTATAAATATTAATGTTTGTATCTTTTATCTACACAATGATGTACTCAAATTTAGTAAAATTGTTTATTTATTTTTATACTTATTTTATTTAAAAAATAATACATCTTTAATAATAAGCATATTTGTTTTTATTTGTTTATATTATTTTATATATCTTTCTATATTGTTATTTGGCAAAAAGATTTCAAGATAGTAATACAAAAATGAAATTTAATATGCTAGTTACAATCTACATACTGTATTTAAGATTTTAAATTGTTTATAATTTTGAACAATCTTTTTTTTATTGTTTTTTTTACTTTAGCAATTTTTTTTGTTTCTTTAGACCAAAGAAATATTTAGACTAAGATAAATTTTCAATTTTTTAGTGTATTTGTATTTTTTTAAAATTTTTAAATTGTTATTTGATTATATTTAATCTTATAAACAATTTGTTTAGTATTAGTCATCTTATTAAGTATAATACATCAACTTGATACATTTGAATTAAAATATAATTACATAAAATTTTATATATTAACTTGTAATTAAATAAATATATTTAATATTTGAAGATTTATAGAATATATTTATCAAAAAAATTAAATTAGTTTTTGATTACATATTTAAAAAATTTTCAAAGTTGGTCAATTTTTTTAAAAAAAAATTAAAAAATTAAAAATTTTTGATATATTTTTAAATTAACCAATCATAATTAAGTATTTTTTTGTACTACTATACAAGTACCTTGGTATAACATTTGTGTATAAACTTACAAAATTTCAACTATGATTATTATGTAAAAAAAAGTTATAATAAAAAGAAAATTATTTATTTAAATTAATTACTATATAAAAAATTAATAATTTAGTTTTTTTTTTTTAAGATGAGGTTATGCCCTCTAGTCTTTATTAGTATATTTGTTATAGCTAATACAAATCTATTATACATTATCTATCACTATATATCTATTCAGATATAGGACTCAGACATATTTATCTGTGACCTAAACCTACTAGAGTTTTGTATTATGTCTTATTCATATCTACCTGGATTTTTGTTTCACTACTAATTATATTAGGTAACCTATATATTCATTCTATGTTTTATAACCTATTTTTAACAACTTTCAAATTGGTCTACTGGATCATTCACTTCTTTTGAGCTACCATCTTTGGTTTGCCCAAAAGGTACCTTTCTAGTATGTATCTTAGTCAGGTTTCTGCTACTGCTGCTAACTTCCTAATTCAGGTACTAGTAGCATATATTTCAAGCCAGATTCCTGTTATTGTTGCTTGTTTATGACCCTTCTTAGTCTTAGTGTTATTTTCAATAGATTGTGCATCTAACCTGCCCCTTAAGTACTTTCTTTTATGGTATAGATAAAACTTTATTTTGAGGATGAATACATATCCTTTTCTAGTCATTAACTGACATTTTTACTATTGTTATACATGCTGCAGGTTTTTCTTTGTTCTGTTTCTAACTGCAGATGATTCTTTTACCTTTTTAAGAACATTCTAGTCTGAATCTATATTTAGACTAAGATATCTACACCATGTATCCTAGGATGTTCAATATCTACAAATTATTATCAACAATTATATTATTAATTAATTTAACAAAAATTTTAATTTTTTTTATTTTTGGTTCAATTAACTAATATAAAAAAACTTTGTTTAATATCAATTACTGTAACTATTTAAACTGTATACCCTGTGCTAGTTATTTGTTATATCTTTTTATTTGTTATACCTCTTATTTGTTACACTCTTTTACTTGTTACATCCTATATCTTTCGGATCCTTTTATATCTAAAATCTCTATTATCTACTCTGTTTTTAACTTTTAGATTTTAAATTATGTCTACTTTAGTCTCTAAAGATTCTAACTCTTATGATATTAACTACTATTATAATAAATATAAAGATTGCTATAGTATAGGAATAGTTAAAATAAAATCTTAATTTTTATATATACTTCTAACAGATATTAATTCAATTAATTGTAATATTGCTAAAAAACAGCATTATTTTAAAGTTTCTTAATAACCTATTATTGCTACATGTCTTTATAAAATATATTATACTAGCTTTACTTTTCAGTTTTATGGAATTTTGTATTTACTTCTCTTGAACAACCTATAACTCAAACTACTTCTATTATTTTTGTTAGTCATTTTAGAAAAATCTTTAATGAACAAACTTAATTACTTACTCTAAAACAATATCAATTTAATTTATTTTCATTCAAACCTCATATGCTATTTCTCAGTTTTTAAATAGATTCTACATCTTCTGCAATTATTATACACTCTTAATACTACTATACATGTTTTATATATAGAACTAAAAATATTTTTTGTATAGCTACAGAATAATATAATCATGATTCTAATTATACAATTTGCATAATCTTTAAACAAAACTTAATTCATAGACTTTGTGTTTCTAGTTTATTGAATATTAAACTTAAATCTTTGCCACAAACCTCTTTCTTATATTCCAATAACAAATAGTTACAGTCTTAATTAAATCTAAACTAATTAGCTTAAATACTCAAACTTTCTCTTTTAACTCTAAAAAACAAATTATTCTTCTTCTTACTCTTAAACAACAACTAATTTTTGTTTTTATTAAAATCCAACAAATAAAATTTAATAAAAAAATCCAACTTTTTAAATTTTTTCTTTAAAAAAAACAAAAACAACAGTATTTCAAATAACAAAAACAAAAAAAAAAACTTAAAAAGATACTAGCAATAACCTCAACTGGTTTAAAGAGTATCTAGTAACTGATGTTATAAAAAATAATACTAAACTCAATAATTCAATTGTCTAACAATTATTCACTTTTATTAAACTATACCTTATTGATATCTATTTAGAAAAAAATATTCAACTAGCATCTAACACAAGTCCTAAATCAAAACTTAATTACAAATATTTAATTAAAATCTTAGCAAGCAAAAAACCCAAATTTTTAACTAATCTTATATATGAATTAAATTCTTTAATTGACAAATCAATATCTATCCTATTTGAATTAATCTATTCTATCTTTATCTCTCTTTTTTAAGAATTTATTACAATTCTGTTTACTTAGTTGAACTATTTAAAAATTTTTGTTTTTCAAAACTTTATTTCTTTATATACTACCACTAATCAAAAACAATTAGCCCTTAATTTGACTTGCTTATATTTTATTCTTTATAACAAATACAAAGCTATTTATACAAAAAAGTTTTATAAAGATCTTAAACTTTATCTTATTTATTTTAAATTATATTATAATTTTAGTAAAGACAATATCAATCAATAACTCATTAAAATTCAAAATAATAACAAATTTAATATTAACATTTTCCTTGATATTTCTAAAAATGATTTTTTTAAACCTTTTAAATTTTATTATTAAAAAATTATTTACCAGAATTCAAAGCCTGATTTTGAAAATTTTTTAATGTTTACAAATGACAATTTTATAACATCAATTAGGAAAAAACATTCAACTATATCAAATACTAAATTACTCTTAAATTGTCTACTTTCTAAATTTAAAATTACCTCTATTGACTTCTTACAAGAGTGTTTTTTAAAGCAGCTTTATATCATATTCATATTTGTACAGTTTTTA